ACTTTTCCGGATATGGGTCCCTATACTCAAATGCTTTCTACTTTTACACTGAATAACCCCTAGAGTTTGATCCCATAGTTCTGAAACACCCTGTAGAGTTTCCAAGCGAAACCATTCTAATAGGGATTTTTGTATCTCCCAGACAAATAAACGTTTATTATACCCGAGATATATACGTGCCTACGGTCATCTATACTGTAAATAAAGAGTGACTGCTCAAGAGCATAAAGAAGTTCGGCCGGCGCTCGTGTCCTCAAAAAATCCCACTCTATACAATGCCTCCTTTCTTTCATTTAAAGTTCTATATCTCAATAAAAACGTCCGATATAAAAATATACATTGTCTTAGCGGTTCATCTCTTTTTACTTTCTACGGCACTGCCATCGCGAAAAATCTTGAAAACGAGATATATTGTGTTTCTTTGATGTTATATGACATGTTAATTATATTGTTTCCTTCGATCTGTCGGTCTGTTTGACTGTCCGCTAATACTTGGTTCATCTATGACTTGAGAAGTACCGCTTCGATTTTGATTAAATTTGCACATAAGTTGCTACTATGCCAAGGACGGAAAAGTTATAGCTTTTGAAAATTGGTCCAGTGGCAACAGAGAAAAGAGCCAAAAACGGAATAAATAAATATCGCTCAAAGTTGACATAGCATTCTCTGCTTAAAGAAAAAAATGAGAATGAATCGCTCCATAGAATATGATAGCCAATATCAGTACCGCAAAGCGCTACATAGTCATATTACCAGGCCCAAATTTACAAAAAAAATATTTAACCTTTTTTAGGAAAATTCCTAAAATGTTATTTTTGCTCCGCTCAAAGTGTGCTTAGGTATTTTTTGGAATATTTTGAAGAAAAACGTGATTTAGAACTTTCCTCTAAAGTTGATAGTTTTCAAGATATAAACGATACAATATTTGAAAAAGTGCGAAATATACCACTTTCGGCTCCTAAAAACAATATGAAGAAAAGAAAAATTTGAATGTTGCCGATGTTCTTCAAACATTCATTAACATCCCAAATCATTTTAGGATGTATCGTTATTGTAAAGCTTTGCTTTTTAATTGTTAATCGCGCGGTCTTAATGGTTCTGGCGCCGCCTCTAGATGTTACATCACTCCTGTACTCACGCAAAGAACAGACTGAGCGCCCTTGGTTAATAATTAAAAAACAAAGTTTAAGAATAACAATAACCCGTCAGATGTTTTGGTATTTTGCTAAGAATACTTATGAACTTGGCAACATTAATATTATCATTTATTTATTTATTTTGTTTTTCGGGGTCGAAGATGAAATATTTCGCACTTCTCCAAATGTTGTATCGCCTACGTCTCGAAAACTATACAGGGTGTTTCAGTTTATTGTTGCATAACTTTAAGATTCGATAGAACTTTTAAAATTAATGGGTCGAAAAATGCGTGGCTTCCGAAATACAAAATTTACTTTCTAAAATAGTTTTTTTTTAAATATTTCGAACAATATTTGATGTATAACAGTGAAAATTGGTATACAAGGTACGACAAAACGAACCATGGGCATAGTTTTACTGTAGCCGCTAGAGGGCGCTCTCTGCTGTACCTGTAGTGTATTAAAATGACCTAAAAATTTTTCTTAGTGCAATTTTTTGCTTTTTGAATAAAAGAACTAATTCTTCGCACTTTTCAAATAAAAAAGCTCTCTTGTGAATTTTCGTTATAGTTTTTGAGATAGTCAGTATCTCGATAATTTTTAGAAGTAGGCTGTGCCTGCAAATGTTTTTGAAATTGAAAGCAGAATAAGGTTAAACGTCAATTAGTTGACAGTTAGTTTTGTTGTCTGTTGAAACCTAAAACGTTTTTTTGCAATTGTGAATGCACGAAATTTAGTTTCTTTTACCTGTTTTTTTTTGTAAGTTTTATAAAAATGCCATTTTTATTCTCCAATCAAGAGTTAGCGGATATTAATTTTGTTTATGGCTTTCTAAATGGAAACGCAGCAGAAGCAGCCAGAGAATACGCACGAAGATTTCCAAACAGACGACATCCAACTCGCTCAGTATTTGTAAGAGTGCATCGCCAAATAATTGAAAATGGTTTTGGAAATCTCCAAAGGGATCAAAACATAAATGTTCGTCAGCGCAGATTTACTCGTATGATTCTGCGTGAGTTTGATAGAGATCCGACCACAAGTGTAACGTTTTATGAACCGATAAGTCATGCTTCACTACACGTGGAGTGGTAAATTTTCATAATCAACATATTTGGTCGCATGAAAATCCGCATGCAGTTGGGAAAAGAAATTTTCAGCATGAATTTAGTGTGATCGTGTGGATTGGTATCTACCGTAATCGACTATTTGGACCCTACCTTTTGCCTGCAAGGTTAAATGCTGCGACCTTCTTCCAATTTTTAAAGGCCGAACATGCAAATATGTGGGATGATGTTATGTTAGATTTAAGAAGATTGGCCTGGTTCCAGCTTGATGGTTGCCCAGCTCATTATTCGAGAATAGTTATAAACTGGCTGGACGAAAATTATCCAGAAAGATGGATCGGCCGTGGAGGACCAGTCGCCTGGCCTCCACGATCCCCTGACCTAAATCCATTAGATTTCTTTGTGTGGGGATTTCTAAAAGAAAAAGTGTACCAGACTCCCGTAACCACAAGAGATATGCTAATAGACAGAATCAGGAATACATGTGATGAAATAAGGCCTTATTTGAATAATGCTATACCACGTTCGATCATTCGTAGATGTGAATTGTGTATTGAACAATTGGGTTTACATTTCGAGCAACTACTTTAGGTTTTGTATGTTTGTCCTAACTATCCAATAGCATTTTAGTTGTAAATAATTAATTTAATTTGTTAAAAATAACATTGGAAAATTAAACAAATTAATATTCTGTTTTTTGTGTTTATTTGGAGTTACGAATTATTGCTGTATTCAAAAACACAATCTAAACGATCGTCTTAATTACTTGTAATGCCCAAATCAAAAATGTAAAAAAATATGATTTTCCCATAAATAATTAAAAATGCATCGAACCTTAAAAATCGAAATATCTCAAAAACGGCTAACTGTAACGAAAACTCACAGGACAGCTTTTTTATGCAGAAAAGTGCGAAGAATCAGTTTTTTATTCAAAAAGCAAAAAATTGCACTACAGGTACAGTAGAGAGCGTCCTCTAGCGGCTACAGTAAAACTATGCCCATGGTTCGTTTTGTCGTCCCAAAAAACCCTTGTATACCAATTTTCACTGTTACCTATGCATCAAATATTGTTCGAAATAGTTAAAAAAACTATTTTAAAAAGCAAATTTAAACACCCTGTATTTCGGAAGCCACGCATTTTTCGACCCATGTTTATATAGACTTTATGCATTAATTTTAAAAGTTCTATCGAATCTTAAAGTTATGCAACAATAAACTGAAACACCCTGTATACTTTAGAGCACTTTTTTTGTTCAGAATGTCCTGAAAAAACTAAAAACACTTTGAACGGCGCTAGAAATAAATTTGGAATATGTTAAAAAAAATATTAAAAGACGTTTTGACGCAAATTTGAGCATGGCAACATGCAGATTCGTTATAAGGCGACCTTTTTGAACAAGATTATGCAAAAAATCCGAATCAGAATGCTTTCCATCGGATGTGAAGATATTGCCCGAACTAACAAGGGCGCAAGCGTCCGCAGCATAAGCCTGCATCATGAATAAATCATAGCTGGAATCATATCCAGCTTGTGGCTGCGATACATGCAAAAATATGTTCGCTGGGACTGGAAAAAATATGCCACAAGGGGAAAAACGAGATAACTCGAAAGTGATGACGAAAGCTTTTCAGGCAATGTTGGACTTGCAGTCGGAATAACGAATATGTACGAGTACTACTAACCTTGTATACGAAATCAAGAATTAGAAAAAGTGAAAATTACAACTAATTAGCTACAACCGGAAAGCCAAGGCAAGGATACATGAGAATGAGATGGCAGCAAGGCCCTAGATTCAGAACTAAAATCAGATCAATAAAATCTTGCAACTGTTTACAAGATGGAGGTCTGGATAATGAAAAAGTACGACACGTTACAAAATAGAGGCATTTTGAATTTGACTATATCGCAAAATGCTGAAAATTGTGAATAGAAAAGGTAGTGTAAGAACAAGTGCAAAAGAAATAAAAAAATTGCGTCGAGTAGGTTGACTGTACACATTAAGTATTTCGTTTGGCCCAAGTTAGTCCATCTGAGCTAGCTACAATCATGTATACCAAAATAAATAAATAGAACAAGTCAGTCTAAACGGCACCTACAACCAGTCTCCATAGTTTAACACTAGTTTATTCCCTGCGCTAAGTATCGAACATCATTGCTGAACCACACCAGTCAACCATACCATAAGCGCCAGTCACGAAACTATAAATCGAGATCGAGAACGCAGGTGACGCAGTCAAACGAAAACAGAATCGTAAATGTTTATTTTAATGGCAAATGTACAGGGTAAACCTATGATATTTGAAATATTTACCAATAGGTGCATAAAATTACCGAGGTTGGAAGTGTATTAATATATTGTCACAAAGAAATGAGATATACCCCTTCCGCAGCAGACCCTCAGCCTCCGATTTTTAACCCATACAAAAATGTTTGGCGGAATGATCAGGGGCCTCTGAATCGTCAGAAAAACGAAGCATGAGCGATTTTTATTTCTGTATGCCGCAGCTACCGGATCGATCTCCAAAAACTACAAAGGTTTTTAGTCCTTGACATAGTAGTCATGTCCTGTGAAAATTTCATCAAAATCCAAGCGGTACGTTCCATGTTATGGACGATCCAAGGGTTACGGACAGACAGCGATAGACAACCAACAAATCGATGGATCGTTGTGATGTACAGATTATATAACATCCAAAAAACAATATCTCATTTCTAAAATTTCTTGTGATTATAATACTTTCCAGGGGCGTAGAAAGTAAAAAGAGGCAACCTACTTGACATCATCCGTTTCTTTTCCAGGCAGTGTTGTAAGGAAGTGTCACCACATCAGAGATGAGTAGCTGCAAGAAGCTGCAGTTGAAGGCTCCGCCTGCAGTGGCTGGGCTCATCGCAAAGCCAGCTTCGAACGACAGGAAGCCTCTGTACAGCTGCAACTGGTACGTGTAGCAGTTGGGCCAGCAGCTGAGCAGCTGGGCTGAAGCTCGAGCCGCGTGCAAGCACGTACAGTGCTGCCGGATACACACGAAAAGGTATGCTGACATTCGTAAAATGCTTGGCAAAAGGCATAGCAAAGGAAATGGGCTATCAAAGCTTTTTACAATCGCTAAAATGTATGATAAGGCGTTATGGTTTTTATATCTTATATCAGCAGCGTTTGAATCTTTTGATAACATTCAGGAGCTTATAATGATTTCTCTACATTTTACATAATGGCTGAGACATGAAAACGCTCTTTTGAAAACCATCAACTGTGAAAATTGAGTAATAATCCATAATGAGTTAATACAGTCTCTAATAAAAAGAAACTAGCTTCCTTATACATATACTACAAAAAAATAGTTGCTGTATTTGTCATGCAGGAAAAACTACCACAAATAACGCTAAAAAATCTCTGAAAATATGAATCCTACAATGTTTTCTTATCGAGGTACAAGGTGTTGTAGTGTCTTACAGAATGAATAAAATTTTTATTTAAGGATAAAAGTTTTGTTTTAAAACGAAGCACATAGATGTCCTCTATTTCTTTATAAGCAGCCATGGAGTCACATTTTGCATAATGTGAAGAGATCCGGACAATGTGAATACCTTAAGCATTCTGCTATTATTACAGAAATGTTGATGAGTATAGAATTGAGGAAAATAACTGAATTGATTCTATACTTAGGTATTCGTTAAAAATGAACAATAATAATAAATCACAGCAAACAAAACAATTAGCGGATACAGACATCTTCATATCCCAGATGGTTGAGTGCTACATTTCGTACAAATACAATAAAAACAACTATCTAAGTTTTCAAGTCTGAACATCCATGCCAGCGGTTGGTTTTAACGAATTGCATTTTTGCGCAGATTAATTATTCAGCTTCTTCCAATGGATGTACTTGATTTCTCTTCTTTCCATATCAATATGTCATCTGCAGCATGTAAAATAAAGGTATCTATTTGGTTTGCATGATGAAAGTTCGTTAACGTCAACCTCAAAAACTGAAGAATATAAGTATTTTATTTATTTCAAATCCTGTCATGTCAGAAAGCCCTAATATATGACATTGTTACGTATGTCATTTCACAATATCCCTTCCTGCATTGCAGCCACCTATATGCTTATATATACTAATGTAGTCAGTGCCATCTATGAGACACTAATATTTTCAAAGTATATATAGTAAATAGACAAACAGCTGAGACAAATTTTCATAGATGACGGGACGGAATCTCATCTTATCCCGGATAATTTTTTGGACACGGGAATATATTAGATTAAATTAATCATCGTCATAACGTAATCCTTAAATAAATGAAATCCGACCATCCGGTAATTCATGTTCAATAAAAACATGTTTCCGAAAATGTGTAGTATTTTTTATTGATTTTAAAAATCTTTTATGGAACATACTGTATTCACGAAATCAAAAAGAAGGTATCTTCGGGCGGATAAACATTAACTCCAAATGTTGTACGTATAGAAGTAACATCATCATCAAGCAATACAGATAATGATATGTTTATCAAACTTAGGATTTGTTCTTATTAATGCGTGATTGCTCATCATACCAATACTCAGCAAATATTCTCATGTAGAAGTCACGGTATCAATTGTTGACTTTGAGTTATCTCGAAGTGTAATCGAGTTTCCAAGAAAAATAATGAACTCCCTCACCGCATTCATTTGCTTATGAATTCGGTGGCCAATTACAGAAACCTGGTAAATTAAGGGACCATTTAAATACTTTAACACAGTTTGATGAACATTGCTCCAAAATGTAATTAAAATCAGCGACCAGTTTGTCGTCGAGATTTAGGGTGAATTGTTTATATTTCAATTAACAGTATGCCGTCAACTGAGTTAGTTGATTTTGTACTTGCTACGCAGTACTAATTCATACTTCCTACTAATATTATAGTCATGGAAAAGTTTTATTTTGAAATTGTTTTTGGCAGGTTGGATAGTGCATGATTTTTTTTTGTTATGGAGAGAACAGTACGCCCTGAACTCTACCACATTTATTCAGCAGAACCAAAATTTACCAATATAAAAATAATATATATCTATACATTAACGAAACAAAAACAAGGTTTCTCTATAATATATGAGCGCCTAAGTTTAAAAACTTGTATGCGCAAAACAGACCAAAACAGTAATTAATTGATAAATATCGTGGAATATATATATTTGTATAAAATCACTCAACTATACAAACAAAACATGATACACGATATACACAAAATGAAAGAAAATTTCATATTTCTGTAAGTCATAGATTTAACTTAAGATCACCGAAAAAAAGTGTCACAATAATATCAAAAAGAAAGAGAAGAAACAAATAGGCAGATCAATCTACCTCAAATCAACTTAAAATAGACGCATAAATTGTTCACGATTTTCCCAAAAGAACATATTAAACGAAACATTATTTTTTTTATTATTTCCAATACTCCTGATATTAGCAGGAATCAAATTGTAAAATTTAGGTGCAAGATATGTCACAAAACGCAAATTTAAATGTGTTTATATGATGTGTTTACACAAGGTTACTACCATTCCAAGGAAGAAATAGCTTGATGAACTTTAAAAATCAGTCAAAGTATGAATAAAACACGAACGATTTAAAAACGCCCAGAAAAGTTTTAGTTTTTAGTATTCGTGTCTCCGATAAGTTTTTGCAAGAATCTAAACTTTTTTGTCAACTTTCATATATCACAATCATATCAATGGATTTATATTAGTGCGTGGGAGTATTAAGTCAGTCTAGAACTGAGATATTATGTTTTTTCTATATTATATGACATGTACATCACGAAAAACCAAGTCACCAATTTAATATAACACTAGTGAACAAAATTAGAATAATTTTTTGTAACATGGACAAAACAAAGTGGTTATTATGTAAAACGTACCCAAAAAGCCGGAAATAGCATTCGATTTTTTCTATCACCCAGTGTTTTCTTGTAATAAGGCATTTTATTTGCTGCCTATACTCGTAAAATATAAGGATATGTGTGTTAGAGTACTAATAAATACTCGAATAAACATTAATCTCAGAATATTGTTGTCGATATTTTACGGCGATACGTTGCTCCTGAAGTATCTCTTAGCAATGTCCAGCAAAATTTTTCCATGGCAGAGACGTCTTGGTGGAACCGTTCACCATGTTGATCACTTACCGCACCTAAATTTTCGGGAAAAAATCGAGATGAGAAACCAAAAGGTGAATTTTTAGAGACATGTTACACCCCATTGCTTTATAAGCATGAATTAGTTCACTCACAATATCTTTATAATTGTCCGCCTTCACATTGCCTAACAAATTTGCAGTAACTGAATTCAGTTTCAATTAGAGCATTGTCAAATACATCATCCTTCATGATTTTCCGTATTTGTGGACCCACAAATATGCTCTCTATAATTTCTGCCTCACTAAGTCTAGGAAATGTTTGTTTTAAATGCAGAAACCCTCTTCCATTTCGATCTATAGCTTTCACAACATTTTTCATCAGTCCCAACTTAATATGTAAAGGTGGAAGCAACACGTTTTTGGGATCAACTAGTGGTTCATGAGCAATGTTTTTGAGGCCCGGAGTTAATACCTGACGTAGTGGCCACTCCTTCTGGTCATAATGACGATCTCGCGCACGACTGTCCCATTCACAAAGAAAACAACAGTATTTGGTATACCCCAGTTGCATTTCACGAAGAAGGGCTATTACCTTTAAATCTGCACATATGGGCCATCCATATTCAATTGATGGATATGCTCAAACAGAACTCGCATATTTTCATATGATTCCTTCATATGAACTGCGTGCGCTATAGGTACAGATGGATATTTATTACCGTTGTGTACCAATACCGCTTTTAAACTAAGCTTAGAGGAATCAATGAACAGGCGCCAATCATTTGGATCATGTTTCTGTCGTAACGCGTCAAACAAATTGTTGACATCGTAGCACTATATCAACTGCCTTTCTTGACGGAAACAGTGTGTGACGTCTTGTTGCCGTTTTCGGTAAAAAGTAATGTTAACATCACCGTGGTGAAGGTTTCATCCTTTTAATCTTGACGCTAAAAGTTCTGACTGGGATTTTGACAGATTTAATTCTCGAACTAACTCATTAAGTTCACCCTGTGTGATCAACAACGGCGCTGTTGATCATCCTGGCAGGTCAAACGAAGGATCAGAAATGTTTACGCTTTCTGTACCATCACTTTCAGAATCGGTGGATTCGGCTTTTTCATCCAAAGACCAAGATTCTGGTGGAACTGGGACAGAAAGTTCATCACTATGCTTAACGGGCCGCAAAGCTGATGGTAAATTGAAATATTTTAAAGTATGTTTCGATTTTGGTCCAATACCTTTAATATTCGTGAGGCAAAAATAGCAATCAGTAGTATGGTCTCTCGGTTCTCTCCAAACCAATGGTATCGCAAATGACATTTTACGATTGTTGCCTCTTAACCAACCTGTTAAAAACGTTACACTAGTCTTACAACATATATGAGGGGCCCATAGTTTATCTTGGTCGCCAACTTTAATTCCAAAATAAAGTTCGTATGCTTTCAACACAAGGGGAGTAAAAGTACGGTTTTGGGATTTAAAAGTTAGCTCTCCGCACACTTAACAAAAAAACTGTTCGCACTATTTGCACAATTTCTAGGCATTGTCCATAAAGCTAGTCTGGATCACAATACACTAAAAACAACACACCGTTTTAACAAAAATTAACAGTACTCAGAACATCTCAGTACCCTTCAACACAGAAAACGTAACTGACTCGGCTGCTATTAGTCTACTAATAAACGCAATATGCTCTCTAAGCATAGAGCTCGCATATAATGAACAGGAATAGACAAGTCTTAACATTATGTATGTGCGTCATCGCATAAACGCCGGAAAATGCAGCAATATGAGATGTTATGTATTGTAATTCATAAAAGTAGATGTTACCGAATATCTGTGGGTGATAGAAAAAATCTGTTTTTCGATTTTATTAAAGGGTCTCAAACATATGATACACCCAAAAATTA